AGCAGTAGGTCTTAGAGTGAGGACAGTAGAGAAAAACATGTAAGCAGCTACACCAGAGAAGTCAGGAGAATGTCGTAGGCTACTAGCCGTAGAGCTAGCTGTAGGCAGGGGTGCAAACTGGGCACCGTGTATAATAACATTCCACTTTACTAAAGGCAGAATTTTGTCATTTCATGTTTTGGTACATTTCTACACTGGAAGTGATCAAACAATGACCAATAAAACCTGAGGCAGAAGATACAGTCACTCTACCAAAGCTACAAAGTATACATTTCCTCCAGGGCCTCAATTAGCATTTGACTGACTCATTGATCATGAGGCTTTGATACATCTGATTAACTGGTTTTGCAGACTGGAGATTTTAAACAACACATTTGAATTGGTATGGCTATAAAGGGAAGTGTGCTGATAGCTCACAATTTACAGAAGAAAATATAAAAAGAATATAGAAGTATATCCTTCATACAATAACAATGGGTACTCATAATAGAGAGAAGAAGTTTCTTCTTTTGTATAAGAGGATAGGGAGCGAAGGAGTGATAAAGTTTAGAAAAAACAAGTCTGCAAAAAAGTTTTCACTATAAAAATCTAGAAACTTATTTTATCTGGAATGTTTATTCAGCTGGATTATATTACTACCCATCATATTAGATGAATGAAGCCTCGTGATTTTTTAAAATGTTTTTCTTTATTTTTGAAGAAGAGAGAGAAACAGAGCATGAGCGGGGGAGGAGCAGAGAGAGAGGGAGACACAGAATCGGAAGCAGGCTCCAGGCTCTAAGCTGTCAGCACAGAGCCCGATGTGGGGCTTGAACTCACGAACTGTGAGACCATGACCTGAGCTGAAGTCGGCCACTTAACCCACTGAGCCACGCAGGCGCCCCAGAAGCCTCATGATTTTTATGCAAAGTTAGTCAAGAGTGTATGGTCTTATCCAGTTTATATCAATACTAATTACCTGATGGTTTCGTATCCATAATAATTCTCTTTCCCTGTATTGAAGACATTCTGTGTATGATGCTACCTTGAGGATTTGCTTTTAGAAGCACAGATGCCTTTTCTTTTTTCAGTTAGGCATATCATTAATAAAATTATTAATTCTGTAGGCATTTCACTAATGAGGAGCACAAAGGTTGTATCTGTAATGAGTCACTACTTAATGTTTTATTAAAATACATGTAAGATGTTTCAGCATCTAAAAAGCACATGAAAAGACAGTCAACATCGTTAGTCACTAGAAAAATGGAAATTAAACCATAATGAGATTTTATTTCACATTCACTAGAATGGTTATAACAAAAAACAGGCGATAACAAGTGTCGGTGAAGATGCGGAAGGACTGAAACAGGCATCCGTTGTTAGTGGGGACCTAATATGGTACAGACCCTTTGCAAAATAGGTAATTTCTTAGAAGTTAGACATAAATTTACCATGACTCAACAACCCTACTCTAGGTATACATCCCAAAGCAATGAAAACGTGGGTCCACATAGAGACTGATGCAGGAGTGTTCAGAGCGGCATTACTTACAACAGCCCCAAAGCGGAAACAACCCAAATGTTCAACTGATGAGTGGATCAACAAAACATGGAGTGCCGTTATGAAAAAGAGCCAAGTACTGACACGGGCTGCAACATGGATTGATCGCAAAAACTATGCCAGGTGGAAGAAGTCAAACACAAAAGAACACGTATTAATCAGTTCCATTTACATAAAATGTCCAGAAAAGGCAAACTTGTGGAGATAGAAAACAGATTAATGGTTGCCTAGGGCTGGAGGTGGGTATAGAGAGTGACGGAAAATAGGCACAGGATCTTTCTGGGATGATGGAGATGTTCTAAAATTAGATTGTGGGGATGGTCACGCCACTCTGTAAATCTACTAAAAATCCTTCAATTGTACACTGAAAGCAAATGCATTTTATGATAATGATTAAAAAAAAAAAAACCACTTATAAAGTATGTCTCCACATTTCACAGGTGAGAAATGGGAAGACCATAGATGCTCATTTACCCAGGGCAATGAGGCTAGTAAACAGCAGAGCCCAGGTTCAAGAGCAGGAAATTATTAAACTCTAAGTCACACTCTTTCCAATATGGTATTCATTATTAGCACCCACATGAAAGGTTCTGTTTAATCGGTTGGGTGCGATCGTGTGAACAAGAGAAAAATCTGGTCCAACAATTTTTGGCTACTTTATTCGCCTGAATGGAGGATTCGTTCAGTTTAACTAGTTTGGACATAACAGACCACATATTGAAATCATTGACATTATTACTCCTATATGATTCAATCATTCACCCAGCAAATATTTACTGAGCAACTACTTTGCGTCAGGCACAGTTCTGGGCTCCACAAGTGTACTGTGGAATGCTGTGACTGAGAGCTACTGATACGTAGCAGTTTCTAGGGTTGAATTTGTGGATCCCGTATCCTTACACTGACATTACTGGCAGCATTCAAGTATGTAAGAGTAGTATGGAAATGGATGGCCAATTCTAAAAATAAGTATAGATTTTAGAAATATAATGCATCATAGAAGTATAAATCCTTCACATTCAAAATACAAACTGAAGAAATAATCTGTTATTCAAGGAGGTGCATGAAATAACCCCATGTATCCGGAAGTACCAATTTATAGGTTGAAAAGTGTCAGAAATCATATCTACAAATTACAAAATACATGATATTCCCTCAAAGGGGGAGACCAGATTGCAGATAATATATATAAAGAGTACTTTTAAACATAGGTCTACCACATGAGCAACAGTTTTCTAAAATAAAATATATTAAAAGTAAAATATTTCTTTAAATTTTTTTTAAGTTTCTTTAAGAGAGAGAGAACGCAGGGAAGGGACAGAAAGAAAGGGAGAGACAGAGAGAACCCCAAGCAGGCTTTGCACCAGCAGCACTGAGCCCAACGTAGGGTTTGAAGTCATGAACCGTGAGATCATGACCCGAGCTGAAATCAAGAGTTGGACACTTAACCGACAGAGCCACCCAGGCAGCGCAAAAGTAAAATATTTCTTTAAAAAAATTTGTTTTAACGTTTTATTTTATTTTTGTGTGTGAGAGAGAGACAGAGTGCGAGTGGGGAAGGGGCAGAGAGACAGAGGGAGGCAGAATCTGAAGCAGGCTCCAGGCAGAGCCCCACATGGGGCTCAAACCCATGAACTGCGAGATCATGACCTAAGCTGAGGTTGGACACTTAACCGATTGAGCCACTCAGGTGCCCTGGTAAAATTTCTTAAAGAAAGAAAATATATGCAGTGCCTGGGTGCCTTAGTCAGTTAAGTGTCTGACTTTGGCCTAGGTCATGATCTCACACAGTTCACGGGTTCGATCCCCACATCAGGCTCTGTGCTGACAGCTCAGAGCCTGGAACCTGCTTCAGATTCTGTGTCTCCCTCTCTCTCTGCCCCTCCCCTGCTCACACACCCTCTCTCTCTCAAAAATAAATAAACATTAAAAAAAAAAAAAAGAAAATATAGCTCCAAATTGAGGGGATCATGTGACTGACAGTGAAGTCCACAAAAAGAGAGAGAAAGAGAGACATACACATACAAAATCAGGGGGTAGAGGCAGGAACCACATATAATCTGATCCTGTTTATGTGAAATGTCCAGAATAAGTACATGTGTAGAGACAGAAAGTAGGTTAGTAGTGCATAGGGTTGGCTGGGGAAAATGGTGGAAGATACTGAAGGTTCTGGGTTTATTTATGGAGTGATAAAAATATTCATAATTGATTGTGGTGATGTTTGCACAACTCTGTAAAAAAAATTAAAATCCATTTATTTTTTTATGTTACGTGGGTGAACTGTACAGTAAGTGAATTCTCTGCCTGACATGTGTGAATTATGTAAGTCTTACTAAAAGAATGAACTAAGGACTATGTGAACTCCATTGCAAATGTGGACTTTATTTGGATTCTGATTCATATAAATAAGGTGTAAAAGCAAAACAAAATACATTTATAAGACAGTTGGAAAAAATTGGGAGTGAGTGAAACAGGGTTAAAAAAATATTTTGGGGGGGGTGCCACCTGGGTGGCTCAGTCAGTTAAGCATCTGACTCTGGTTTCTGCTCAGGTCATGATCTCATGGTTTGTGAGTTCAAGCCCCGCATTGGGCTCAGCACTGACAGCACAGAGCCTGCTTGGGATTCTCTCTCTCCCTCTCTTGCTGCCCCTGTCTCCCCCCCCCAAATAAATAAACTTAAAAATATTAAAAAGTATATACATATTTTGGGTCACTGGCTTTTTTAGTATAATTCCTCACTTTACCAAGAATAATAGTACACTAGGGAGGTTGTTTGGTAAAGTAGTTCATTTCCATATATCATAGCCACATTGAGATTAAAATCTCCTTAAATAATGGATAAAAATATACCAAAAGCTATAAAGTTCCCACATGCAAACGTTCTATTTATACATTTTTTCCCTATTTACACATTTTCTATCTGAACAACCAGGTATCTGTCCTATAGATTTAAAAAAGTAATGATATTTTCAATCTATGAATGTTCACTAGATGTTCTCTTAAAGACAAGTATATTATATTTTAAGGTATGTTTCATAACTTATAATTTCCTGCATGCAAATATATTCTCAATGTAAATTATTTGCTTTTGAATATTTTAGGAGTCAAAAAAGAGTACAGATTTAGCCGGTAGACAAAAATAAGAAATGGCCATTTATTTCAAGCATTTTAGAATATCTTATATTAGTGAACAGATGCTCATCTGATTATCTTCTCCTAAGGGAGCAAATATAACTGAATTACCATTCCTTTATTAGTCTTCATGAAAGGAACATCCACTCCACAATAAAGAACGATGTCAAAAGACAGTAGTAAAATGCTTGCCTTTTCTTCCTTAAAATTTTAACCTTGTGTTTACAGATGTTAAAAGACAATTTGCTAAATAGTTAGAAACAAAATAAAGCAACAGAGTATTTTCACTTCTTGAGGACTGCTCAAGCAAAAACAAAATCTCTCTTACCATCCTGTTGATCCGTACAAAGTCTTCAGGTTTTTTTGCCCAAGGGGGAAGACCAACGTCATTTACCACAACTTCATCTTCTCTGACTCCAAGATTGTATCCATTACTGTTGACAAACATCTCTGGTAGGTAATAGAACTCTGGAATTAGTTCCTGCCAGGAAGAAAAATGTGACATATTAAATCACTTTAAAAGTGAGTTGAATAAAACTATTATAACTTGTTAACTATAAACCGAATTAAATTCTTTCTTTAAATCCAATAGTTTATTATTTAATTCAATTCTGTATTTGATTTTCTTTAGATGAGAGGAAGAGAAGGAAGAGAGGTGAAGAAAGGAGAAGAGCAATATTTTTCTTGAACATTTTATTTGATAATTTATAAGACTTTCAATCTTATCTTGCTACAATTAGTTAAAAGGGTTACAGAATCAACAATAGTTCCTAGTAGTATTATCAAACAAATATGTAAAGCTATATCTACAAATCTATGACGCTCAACAACCTTTTCTGAATATTATTAATACTCAAATTAAAAAAAAAGTTGTTGCCAATAATGGTTAAAAATCATGTAATATCTTCTACTTTTCTTTTTGATCACACTGTCAATTATGCTACATATTTTTTTATAAAATGATTCATAGTTTTATTTTATAATTTGGCACAATTAATTACTTTTGTACCTATCACTAAGCACAATGAAGAGATGATATACAACATGACAATAAGTTTTAAATGTTTAACACATGGCACCTGGATGGTAACTTCTTAATAAACTGGATCCAAAGACATCTTGTGTTATTTGTATATAAAGATGGCGTGAACAACACGATTCGAGCAAACTCGTGTTTGATGCACAATGTCTAATATGAGGTTTATGTTCCTTTAGAACAAATCAGATATGGAAATGAACTGTTTTTATGACCCTAGAAATGTTTTTTTGTTGTCAGTTTTTTAAGTAACTGGGAGAAAATGCAAACAAAACCAAAAAAACATAAACCACTGTAGTTTTTATGTACACCATCTATATCATAAACAACAACAACAATCTTTTCAAATATCAAGATGAAGGTTAAATTAACCTTATATCGTGAAAAGCATAATGACATTTATTTATGTAATATGATCTACACTGATAATGTAGTACCTGAAATTCAACTCTTCCTGTGGTCTTCTCTAGAGATTCATAGAAAAATTAAAAAAACAAAGAAACAAAAATCCCAAAACACCAGACGCTGATATCTTCAAATAAATCAAATTACTAACTTTCTAAGAACAGCATACACAAAAGCTTTCTCTTTATGGGTTCTCCTGCTGAAATCAACATTTGTCTATTATGGCCTAAGTAGGTGTTTATCTTAGTAATGCTCTGTGAGAATTTGATTATTATCCATTCTGATGATGATAAATGTGAGCTGTAAAAAACATAAAACATAATAAAGTTTGGGTACAGGGCACTGCGACAGGTACAAGGGAAGAAAAAAGTGAACAAGACATGGTTTTATTTCAAGTAATTTATAATCTGCTCTGTGGGGTAAATACACAAACAGATGGTTGTAATACACAATAATAACTGCTCGAGAGGAGTAGAAACCAAGTACAAGGAAGCACAGAGGAGAAGGCAGACAACGCAGGGCAAGTCAGGAGAGACTTCACTCGAGACCAGACAGTTGAATTTGGCTCTGGCTAAGATAAAGGCAGGGGGAGGGGGCAGGGGACCATCAGGAAGTATAATCAAGAAGGGGTAAGGACTGAGTGTGGGTAGAGAATAGGACATATGGGGGGGGTAGGTGAAGATGGGGGAGGTGGGATGTTAGGAGTTATATGGAGCCAGATGATGAAGGAAGTTTTATGCCAAGCTAAGCTGTTTGGATCTTGTGTTATTGGGCAGATTTGTCTTGTAACAAGACATTGGGTGGCAACATAAAGGTTGGACTGCAGAGGACAGAGACTGGGCATCTGTGCATATGTGGGGAGAAGGGGAACCAGAAGCAGCAAGCAGAACAGGAGGGAAGGGGGAAGGGCAAGTGTGACTTGTGGTGACGGTGGGATTTCAGCAGGGAGGGTAACCTGTGACAGAGGTGAGGATGGGCCTGCAAAGAACAGAGGGAATTAGGTGGTTCACACTGCAAGACAGTCATTCATTAACAACAAACTACACAACTTCAAGGCCACAAGAAAGTGTGGGGAAGGAGAATTATGGTGAAATTAACATAAATTAATGTACATTTTCAGTGAACGGTATGTAAAAGGGGAAACTGAGAAGGGGCTGAAAAAAAAAACTAACAGGTAAACAAACATCCTATTTGCAAATCGTGATACAGTTTAGTTAGTGGGTAACACAAGAGCTAAACACTGATTCAGAAATATTCTATCAGCAATGACCGTAATCAGCTGATTTCTGGACTGGGTACACACTGATGGTGTATATTATATTGCTTTGAAGGAGCAATCTGGTAAAGGTGTGTGATCACTGATTAGAAGGTAGAAGCAAAGCATCATTACCATTCTCATTGATCTGTATGCAATCAGAAGTGCATAATCATTATGATCTGATGTTTCTAAAATGCAAAGGTTGAAACTCTGTCCTCTATGCTGGTATTAGGAGGCGGAGTCTTTGGAAGGTAATTAGAATTAGATGTGGAGCCCTCAGGAATGGGAGTAGTGTCCTGAAAGGGGTCTTGAGGGAGCCTGTCTCTTGGCCACGTGAAGAAACAGCAAGACAACGGCTGTCTGTGAACCAGGAAGCAGGTGCTCACCAGACACTGAACCTGACCATGTGGGCACCTTAGCTTTGGACCTCCAGCCTCCACAACTGTGAGAAATACATTTCTGTTCTTTATAAGTTCCCTAGCTTATGGTAAAAATATAGCTGCTGGAGCTGACCAAAACAATAATTATTAACTTCTCATTTCAATGCATTAAGGTAAAACTTAACGATATTCTTTTGATCTTACTCTCGCAGTTTGGGAAAACACGGACAATTAGTAAAGGATGTAGAAAAAGTTAAGAATATGGCTGTTTGGGCATTACCCATTCTTTATCTGACATGGAAGAGCAATAGCGTTCCAAAAGGGGGAAAAGAATGTAAGATCACGCAGTCGCTTTCTCTGCAGGGTGATTTATATGTAGTAGACTCACATAAGTCAGGGATTTCCCTTACTGCCTTTCATCAGTTATTTGTGTTCATGTCTTATCTCCAGAACTAGACTATATAAGCTTCCTTGAGGACAGAGAGATATAGCCACATGGATAAAGCAACATAAATTTATTTTTTATTTAAACAGCCCAAAGAGTCTTAATTTATCTTCACCTGTCTTGGTGCTTCGTAATGTTTTCCAAATATATTATTTCCATTTTTCCCCCCTGTGGTTTAGGGTCACATAAACTGTCTGGTTATTATTAACCTATTTACCACTATAATACTATTTTCCTGAATGTCATTAAACTAGATTCACAAAGGCAACAAAGCCCTAGGATTTTATATTAATAACAGTTTGGGCAAAGCAGCTTTTCAAGCCTGATATTACAAGGTTTATATTTTGTTGATCCCTTGTAGCTCTTGGTGTTATACTTAGCAGGTGCTCATTAAATATTAAGCTATTGATGAAGATATTAGGTAAAGTTATTTTAATATCACTAGAAATCTTCTGGGGAATATGCAGATGGTTGGAGGAATGCCTCAAGATTGGAAAGGAGCCAGTGAAGGACTTTATTAAATAAAAGAAGAAGGATGAACCCCCAAAATGACATTTGTACCCTTTGAGGGGCAATGTTTGCAGCTTAGAAAACATGATCTTGCTTAGCTTAGTTATGTATAAGAGGTTTAGCAGCATAAAAGTGTTCACTTTAAAATACAGAAAAATTTCATTGTAAAGTTGCTGACAAAATTGTACCCCAAATACAGAAGTGGAAGAAACAAGACCTACTTCATTTTAATTTAAACTCTCTGGCATAAGAAGGGGCTAAAAGCTGGCTGCCACCAAGGAGAAGCAGCGAAGCAGGGCCAAGAAAGTTCTGCCCTGATGGTTACACAGGAAGTCAGGAGGACGAGTTAAGTATTTCGTCAGGAACATTCAGGGAAGGCAAGGCCAGTTATATGAAAAGGTAGCATTACTAGGGCCTTCCAGATGATCCTTCCAGACCATCCCTTCAAGAAGGCCGTGTCCTCCACTCCAGTCCTCATCTGGACCATCAGACTGTGATCACTAATTAGGGTGTTCACTGAGATGCTGGACTAAGCTGTTAGAAGCCTGATTTGAGGATTTGAAGAGTGGAAGAAATGCTTTCAGATTTTGAATAGAGGGAACAGCCACAAACAGACACATTTTTAAGGCAGATATAAAGAAATTCCTGGAGCTCAGCTTAATTGCGAGGCCCCTAAAAGCTTCAAAAGACCAGAGCTATATGTGACTGAGCCTGAAGTCCTGAGCTGGGGAGGTTTGGGGATTTTTGTTTGTTTGTTTGTTTGTTTTTTTCCCCCGAAGGGGAAGGTAGAGAGTGAACTCACGAAGTCTAGGGAGAAGTTGCTAAAGCAGCAGAGTGAGTGTAAATGTTTATGTCTCCATTTAATTTTTAATTTTTAAAATTAAAAGACTAAAAAAAACCTTGTTTCAAATAGCATTTTTAAATGTAATGTTAGCATATAAATGCAGGACAATATTATATAATTTATATTCATGTGTATATAATTTAGAAGGTTTGATTATTAAAAAAGAAAAACCTAAAGAATAAGAAGAGTTTCATCTCTGAGACTCAGCTGTTATATCCAAGAAGATGGCCATGATTGTATCTTGGCTTCAAGACAAGAAATCAGCTGAAATGTTACCTCTGGTTGTTCAATCTTAAAACAGCAGGCAGAATTTATTTGTACCATACTATATCTTGGTACTGTTCTAAGTGCTTTACATATATTTTCTTAATCTTGGCAAAATTTCATGAGATAGGCATTCCCATTCTTCCCACTTTTTAGACATGAAAACTGAGGCAAAGAGAAGGTAAGTAATTTGCTAATGATTACAGTGGAAATAGGTGGTAAAGCCAGAAATCAATATCAAACACTTTAAATCCAGGGTCTCTGCTCATATATTCTCTATTTTGCCTTCTGAAGCAGCAACCCAGTCATTCTGTAGGGACTTCATTCTGTTTTGATTTT